GTAGAATATAAATGTCTTAACACAAGAACAAAGAAAATGCCATGAAGACTATGTTAACCATTTTGATAAAAATATTTCAAATTCTATATAAAACCAGCACATTATACCCCCGACTGCATTAATGTACACAGCTATGATTTAATAAAATATCTTAAAAAAATAGAAAGCTTATTTAAAGAAATAATGGCTGAAAACTCCCTAAATCTGGGGAAGGATATCAATTTTTGAAGCCCAAGGAACCCATTTAAGATGAACCCAAAGAAATCCATACTGAAACTCAGTATAGTCAAATTGTCAAAAGTCAAAAACAGAGAATTTTTTTTTTTTTTTGAGACAGTCTGTGTCACCCTCAGTAGAGTGCTGTGGTGTCACAGCTCACAGCAGACTCAAATTCCTGGGCTTAAGCAATTCTCTTGCCTCAGCCTCCCAAGTAGCTGGGACTATAGGTGCCCGCCCGCCACAATGCCCAGCTATTTTTTGTTGCATTTGTCATTGTTGTTTAGCTGGCCTGGGCCAGGTTCGAACCTACCAGCTTTGGTGTATGTGGCTGGTGCTGTAACCACTGTGCTATGGGTGCGCAGGCTCAAAGCAGAGTATTTTGAAATTAACAAGAGTAAGAGGAAAATGACTTGTCATGTACAAGGGAGCCTTCAAAAGACTATCAGATTTCTTAGTGGAAACTGCAGGCCAGAGGGAACGGGATGATATATTCATTGTATTGAAAAATGAGCAGTCCTTTGAAATGAAAGTGAGAGATAGGCTTTCCCAGCCAAACAAAATTTAAGGAATCTTGTCACAGTCGACTCGCCTTGCAAAAAAATGTAAAAAGGAGTTCTTTATATTGAAATAAAAGGGTGCTAAATAGCAACATAAAAGTATATGAAAATATACAGCTAACAGGTAAAGGCAAATATATAGACAAATGCAGAATATTGTAATATTGTGTTATTGTGTATTGTACTAATATTGTCCTAAGTTGTATGGGCTTTGGTAAAGTACCTTTGGCTTTCTATTGAGACCCCTAAATAACTATACCCTGTACCCTGCAAATAAGGATTCCATTTTAATGTTAGTATATACTTTTACTATGAAAGTTAAAAGGTATATTAAAGATAGCTATAATCGGCTCGGAGCCTGTGGCTCAAGTGGCTAAGGCGCCAGCCACATACATCTAAGGTGGTGGGTTCGAGTCCAGCCTGGACCCGCCAAACAACAATGACGGCTGCAACCAAAAAAAAAAAAAATAGCTGGGCGTTGGGGTACCTGTGGTCCCAGCTACTTGGGAGGCAGAGGCAGGAGACTCGCTTGAGCCCAGGAGTTGGAGGTTGCTGTGAGATGTGAGCTGTGAAGCCATGGCACTCTACCCAGGAGGATAGCTTGAGGCTCTGTCTCAAAAAAAAAAAAAAAAAAAGATAGGATAGCTATCATCACAAAAATTTGTTAATGGATGCACAGTATAAAAGATGTAAATTGTGACATCAATAATAAAGTTTGGGAAAGGAATTGAAATCCTTGGTTTTTTGTATTTGATGGGAATTCTTATCAGCGTAAATAGATTTTTTTTCCTTTTACTGTTATTTGCATCTATTTTATGTTACATCTATTTCCATGCCATAAGTTTTTGTTTCTTCAGTTTCTTCTGGGGTATCTTTTTCTTCTGTGCTACCTCCTCCTTTGGTTTGCAAACAATTTGTTCCTTTTTAGTAAGGATCATCTTGATGTGGCAGGGGGAGCTCATGTGTGGGTTAATGCGACCATGAGTTGTGTTAAGTTCAGCCACACATCTTGGGTGCTTTGTTCATATGGATATGCTGAATGACCAGAGAATTTACATTTAAACCTGAAGTTCAGCATTACTCTCTGAATTTTTAAGCATGTGCAGGAAAAATTCAGCACTGTTTTGGGGTCACCAGCCTTGTATCCAGCCTCACTCTTTGGCCTAGGCCCACCTACCA